TGGAAAGGAAGCCAGGAAGCTGTGGTTTCAGTATGGGTCATTAAAGGGGTACAGAGGGTGCCCTGCATCTCTCGGGATCTTCCTCCCATCCACCTGGAAAGAGAGGCAGACATGACTCCCTTAATATTTTAAAGACGCTGGGCATTTTTCCCCAAATCTTCCCGAACAACCTCACTTGTGTACAGCATGATGCCACATGGTAGTGACAGGGTCCCGGCCTCAGAGAATGCCATAGTATCAACAGCATTCCAACACTAAACCCACAGCCTGGTACATAGCTGATCCTGTCCCTATACGTGTGCAGTATCAGCCGGGATAAGGAACTAATTATTTCCCTATGTGCAACAGACTTCAAACCAACCCCAAATCCTCTAACAAAGTTAAGAATGCCTTCTAGGCTCCCTTCATTCATAACATTTACCGAGAGCTTACTACATGTCAGGAACTAGGATCATTTTACAGATAGGAAGATGAGGCTTGGAGAAGTTAAACAACGTTGGAGCTTACAAGATATTGAGAAGCAAGACTGGGACTCATAGGCTATATGCCTTTATCCCTGAGCCATACTACTTCCCCAAGTTCAGTAAAGAGAAAAGAGCCCATTGTGTCCAGGACAGCAATCCTACCTATAACACCACTCTGCCTCTCCTCTGACCAGCAAGGCTGAGGCCACACTTGGGCCAGAATTCTGCACCAAATCTCACATTCCCTGACTCGTGGGTGGGGTGGTGGGGGGAGGGGGGCGAGATTCATACTCACCTTAAGCAGGGGAACAATGTATCGCAAGTTTTTATTCAGGGCATCTAGCTGCTTCATCTCTTCTGGGCTAATGGTGAAGTCAAAAACCTGGGGATGGGGAATGGGGATCAGGAAAGCTAGCTTTGTGAGTGGAAGTTGGGGTTCCAGAACCCTGCCTTCTTAGTCAGGCAGTGTCAGGGCCAGACTATGTCCCAATGGGCTAAGGAAGGTAGGACCTGTCACCATGTACCTGGATGTTCTGAAGAATACGGGAAGGTGTGACACTCTTGGGGATGCAGATCACTTTCCGCTGGACCTGCCACCTAAGGTGTGGGATTGAGGTGGATGAGGAAGAGGCGTCAGTACTCATAAGCATTGTTTTGTCTTCCATGCAGCCTTCTCTAAGCTCCTGGAGATGCTGAGCCCACGGGAATGGCAGACATGCTTCAGAGCGGCCTCCCCGCCAGATCACATGACAAGATACTCAGCCTCATCCAGGCACTTGGATAAGGAACCCCTAAACCCTTGCCTCCCAACCCAGAACCCCTCTCCCTTGACCTGACTTCATTTCCCCAAGATTGCCCGCACCTGAGCAAGATCTGGGCTGGGGACCGGCCATACTTTTCAGCCAGTGCCAGGACCACTGGCTCCTCAAGCAGGACAGGCTCATCAGGATCACGCCAAGCACGATCAAAGGAGCCCAGAGGGCTGTAAGCAGTTACCTCCAGGCCGTGTGCTTGGCAGTGGGCAATCAGCTCATTCTGAACCAAGTATGGGTGGCATTCCACCTGCGCCAAGAAACAACCCATCACCATGAGATGGCCACATATAGCTTGCCAGGCCACACACTCAGACATGCTGTCCTGGCCAACCCCCACTTCCCCTCAGCCTGTTTTTCTCACTCTTTTCCACTGTCCATCCAATTCTCTTTCCACACTTCAATGCTCTTTTTATGCAGAGGAATCCTGCACCAAAATTTCTGACAACTTACTAGTCATCTCCATGAAGTAGACGCATCATCTGCTCACTCATGCTCTTGCACACCTCCCCGTCCCAAACCAACTGATGTGCTCTGCTGTGGTCACCTGCAGGACAGCTGGACGCACAGAGGCCACACTGAGTACATCATCAATCTGCCGACGGTTGAAGTTGGACAGGCCCAGCGCCCGCACCAGCC